GATGAACTGCTCTTGAACTGATACAAGATGCGAGACCTATCAAAACTAATACTGATATTTTACTAACGATTAATTTTACTAACGTAAGTACATCCTCATAAGTACGTTCAAAAAATTCAAGTTACGATATACCATCCACTGCAGGTTTCTTCAACCGCCTCTTTGCATAACAGTCTCAACTTATCGACTGTTGGTTCGATCACGATGCCGTTGGAAAGGCACGAATCGATGGGATCGCCACTGTTACCGATGCCAACACCTTTATCGCAGCGAGTGTCAACACTCTCACAAGATGCATTGTAAGTTTTCATTTCATTATTTATTCATTCGTCTGTTCAGTTTGTTTGCTATAAACGAAACACATGTTGCGATAAGTGGTGATCAAGGTCTATTGAAATTCATTACGAAGTGACTATGATGTCCCATCGAAAATACGTGATCGAATTGAAAAGGAGAACTTAAAAATGGAATGTCAATAACCGTCGATCGAAAAATGTTTACTGCTGAGAAAATTAATCAATTGTCATTAAATGGAATGTGCGCAATTATTGTGAAACAATGGAGGAAATCGATGAAGTGAAAATAAAATGCATATACTTTTTTNTGTACGTGTCGGGTTTTTGTTTCGATTCCATGTATTTTGTGCGAGTTTTATTGCAACTGCATCATTTTATTGTGCGAATTCTGAGAATTTTCCACGCATCTGTTCAAATTCGTTGCAAAATGAGAAGAAATTCATGTCGTTTATTGCAAAGTGCATTGAACGCTGTGCTCAGTAAGCTGAAAAAAAAACGGTGTAATTGATTATGAATTGGTCGGTTGCAAATAATGACGGTGTTGATAAAGACGGAAAAAATAACTGAAATTGGTAATGATTAATAGGTCGTGATGACTTGATGATCGTTTTGGAAAATTTCATTTTTTGTTCATATCTGCCACATTTTTTGATCATTTGATAAAGGTTATTGATTGATAGTGTGGAGAACAAGACGAATTGACTTTGATACAAAATACACAAATCGTTCTTTTCCTTAACGAGGTATATAAGTACGTTCGTATTGGTATACGGAGTTGATTGTTGGGCAGTCGCTTAAGTGCGCACTCAAGATGGCTTTGAAAAGGCACTTTGTACACTTGTTAGTAAGCATAGCATTAGACTGGTTAAAATTTGATATTAGGAATTGATCACGTTTGTGATGGAACTCCACTGGAACAGCTACATTTGGAATGTGATGCGCTTTTTGTTGCTTGTGCTCATAATAATAGCAATGATGATAATAAGAATAAGAAGTGAAATGTTTGCTTGTGTTTGTGAACTGAATTGATTGAACTTTTCAGAATGACAATGCGATCACCTCCAGGCCAAGATTATA